CAGACAAATTGTATGCATGACTTATGTATCACATGGTATCTTAGTTACTTCTATATTATTGTGATAATAATGAATAAGGAAACTGACAGAAAAAAGAATTTATTTGGGCTCATAGTTGCAGAGGGGTTAGAGTCCACAACCATCATGGTGGAGACCATGGCAGCCGGCAGGTGTGGTGCTGGAGCAGTAGCTGAGAGCTTGTGTTTTGATCCACACGCATGAGGCAGAGGGAGTTAATTGAGAATCATGTGGGCTTTTGAAATCTCAAAGCCAGTGACACACTTCCTCAAACTAGGGACCAAACATTCAAGTTAGGAGCCTATGGGGGGGCATATTATTCGCCTTCTGCTGTGAGACCAGCTTTCAGCAACTCCACAGAACTGGAAACGAGGTGCGTGTCCACAGAACTGCACACACAGGAGACCTTTCCTGAGGGCCAAAGTTTATCTTCATTTTGTTTTTCTCTATGATGGATGTTCTTTTCCTCTACTATTGTTGTACATTTTTCCCCTCATCCCTGTTATACCACCCAAGACAAAGATTTCTGTGTAAGAAATGCTTACCTCATAACCACAAGAATAGGACCAAACTAGTCCCTCTGAATGTGGGTGACAGTCTGCTGGGACAGACTGCGGGGCCACTAGCAGTGGCACCAGGATTTATCTTTACTGCTTGTACTGCCTTTTTGGGAACCTATTCTCTTTGGATGGATACCTTGCTCAGCCTAGATTTAGTAGGGAGGACCTTGGACCTTCGCCAAAGCAATGTGCCTTACCCTCTCTGAAGAGTGGATGGAGTGGGGTGGGGGAGTAGGTGAAGGGAATGGTAGGACGGGAAGGAGAGGAAACTGGAATTGGTATGTATAATGAAAAAAAATAGTTTTTCTTTTTTAAATAAAATAAAACAAATTTCTAAAATATTTATTTATTATGTATAAAATGTTCTACCTACATGTAGGCTGCACACCAGAAGAGGGCACCAGATCTCACTATAGATGGTTGTGAGCCACCATGTGCGTGCTGGGAATTGAACCCATGTCCTCTACAAGAGCAGCAAGTGCTCTTAACCACCGAGCCACCTCTCCAGCCGCAGGTTTCTATTCTTAATTCTAGAGAAACTTTAAACACGTGGTCAGCTCGCCATCTATTCCTTTACACACAATAGGGTCATTTAATTTTTTCACAGCTTTGTTTTGCAAGGTGCACACCGGGGCCTGTGATTAACCCTGTAAGTTGTATGCCCAAGAACTCGGCCTGACCCTGGATGTAGGGACAGAACGGTTTTCTCTGACCACCAGTCTGTTTTCCACTGGCAGCAGCCATGGATCTATGATACAGAAAACTCCCTTCTTATTTTCCGTTCCTGTAAATCTCATATCTAACAAAGGGAACGGTAACTTCTAGCCTATATTTTCCATTTTTGTATCTCCTTAGAGCAATTGGTAAAATAACCCAAGCCATTTCCCTAATCATCTTCACTAACTGTCCTAACCACCTGCATCTTTTAGCTTTAGCCTAACTCGGAAAGACCAATTAAATTGTAGATCTAACTGATCATTATTGCTCTTATAAAAATCACCTTCATTATGACCTGCAAGTAAATCGAGCAGTGAGGAGTGGGATTTTTCCGAAGAAACAATCACACTATATTAGACACAATGGGGTCCCTGGAAGGTGAAATGAAAAGGTGAAGTGGGTACCTTTTGGTGGGCCCTGCCAAGGTGTGCCACTAAGCAAACACGCCACATGCAACAGCGTTAGTGCGAGAGGTTTACTGGGGGAGGGAAGAGGGAAAGAGGGAAAGGCCATGTCGGGGTGGGGACATGAGACAAGCTGACAGACAGTGAGATGGGGAAGAAGAGAAGCAGGAGAGGAGCAAGAGGCAGAGAGACAAGAGTGAGCTGTGCTCTGGAGGGCACTTTTAAGGGGTGCGCATGTTGCACAGCTGACGGCTGAAAGGAAAGGCCCCGGGCAACAGTGACGGCAGGGCTGCCTTGGCTGTAGAGGCAGGCTGCTGCTGCAGCGGAAACTGACACCCTCCCTTCTGTTTATTATGAAAGGATGAGGAGATAGGAGGGAGGCGGGAATGGGGCGCATGTTCTCTAGACTGCTTCCTGTTGTCTGGGGCTTCGGCATCTTTGGAGGACCTGAGAAGGCTGAGATGCTGGCCAAGTCCTGGGATAGCTGGCTGTTTCACTTCGCTGTTCAGGCTCTGTGGGACCTTCCGGTGCAGCTTGGATTTGGCAAGATATTGACAGAGCAGAGGATAAAGCTAAGTTTAGGGGAAAGGAAAAAAAAATGCCCTAGTTCCTGGTAATTGAGGGAAGGGAGTCCCAAGACCGGGGAAAGGAGGGAGGCTTAGGCTGTTGATTGACAGTACTTAGCTGAAGGGTACATTTGACTTGTTCTTAGATGGATCCAAGTCAACTCTCTGGAGCTCACAAGAGGTTTTTGAGTTTACAAAAAGATACAAGTTTTAGCATCCCCACTGTTTGTAAACTGTACCAAAATCTTCACTGCAAAAAAGATAGTATTCTCATGTAGTATACTCTGCACAATCTGCCAGATTAATAGCTTATCAGAATTGCATTAATTAATGTTAAGATTATGGTCTTAATATATCAGTAGCACAGTGATAGAGTGAAATCTGGAACATGTTTCTTTCTTTTAAACGTCTCAAGTCACTTTTCCTTGTCACCAGTTAAGCTTTCTTACCTTTACATAAACAAACCTTAAAGCACCTGGTCCTTCCCCATCACAACGACATCACTGGACAGCCTGTTTCTATTCAAGTTACCAGGAGACACAGGTGATTACTGAGGGCAGTCACTGTGGAGTTAGTTCCTTTTAAATAAAGGAATAGTAGAGAGTTACATTAGAATCTATTCTGTGAGTCTCTTTTCTGAATCTGGGGGACATGGGGTGCTGTTGGTTCTCACCACCTGATCATATTTGGTAGTCTTGCACCTCCAGCTCTGTGGCTAACGGTTAGCAGTCCTGTAACAGTGGCTGAATAGTTGTTTAATCAGAGATTTTTGAATGTGTTGTTTGAGATACACAGAGAAGAAATTGATGAGGCATGGTGTGGTTGTTACAGATAGGAGAATGAGGAGAGGGGTCAGGAAGGAAAGCATCCATTTCCCTATGATTCCCAATTTAGTAGAGTTGAGCATGGTTGTGGGGTGAAGCCTTACTTTCCTGGAATTGGGGACAAGGCAGTTGATCTCGGTGTCCTCTGAAACATAAGGGATCAGGACCCTGTTGGGGTTGCTGTGTATGAAGAAGGGTTAGCTTGAGGTGGGGAGTAAAGGGTTTGAGATGGGATAAGTGAATCCAATGAGGGAAGCCCTCAAGCTCAGCAGCTGTAGGGGTTACAAGAATTACTTTGAAGGGGCCCTGCCATTTAGGGGAAAGGTGTGAAGGATGTTGGTCTGGAGGAAGAGAGAAGGACCAAGGGTCTTGATTGAGGATGGACAGGGCTTAGCACATGGTTGGGGTATGGAGTGGTCCGGAAAGTTCCACAGGAGAGACCATGGACAATAGAGTAGCGGGGTGAGTAGGTGATCAGGAGAGGTGAGGGTTTGGCTGAAAGATGGGGGTTAGAGCCGGCTGCCCATACATGAGTTCAAAGGGTGAGATTGAAAGGGTTCGCTTGGGGAGAACCTGGGGCCTGAAAAGAGACAGTCAACATGAAGTTTCCATGACATTTTAATGAGAGTGCTTTTGAGGTAGCGGTTAGTTCATCTGTATTTCCTGAGAACAGGAGGTGGTATGAAATATGAAAACGCCAAGGAATGCTGAAGGCTTTAGATAAGGCTTGGGAAATCTGGGAGGTGAATTCAGGACCACTGTCTGACTGGAGGGAGGTACACTTCGTCTCTTGGAGTTCAGAAGAGGATGTTGGATCCCCTGGCACTGGAATTACAGATGGGTCTGAGCTGCCACATGGGTGTAAGAAATAGAACCCAGGTCCTCTGCTCCTTTCAAGGGCCAGCCGACTTGTTAACGGCTGTGTGCGCACAGGGGAAAGGACTCTACCGGGCACATTCCCACATGCTTGTCCTCTTTTGGTTCCAATACAGTCTTTGCCTGGGTCTACTATTACAATAGATGTTTTTTTACACATAAGTACGTTTTTCTCCGTTTTTTCTTTCTTTTTTCTTTTTTTAAAGACAGGGTTTTTCTGTAGCTTTGGAGCCTGCCCTAGAACTCACTCTGTAGACCAGGCTTGTCTCTAACTCAGAGATCTGCCTGTCTCTGCCTCCCAAATGCTGGAATCAAAAGCCTGTGCCACCACTGCCCGGCTTCCATTTTCTTTATATATACACTATACCTTATCCATATACCAGGATAGAGTTCTTGTTCTTTCCATGTGTTGTATTGTAAGGGTGTGTAATGCTTTCACTGGTCCCACCTATTTCTATTTTGACATTAGTAATTCAAGCACATACAATCTTAATGATTTTTATGTTTGTGTGGGTGAACCTGAAACATGAAATTTTCAAGGGTTAAAGAATGTTAAATGTTAGTGATTTCCAAAAATATACTAGTTTTTGCAGTTCGAAGTGGGTCCACAGTTCTCAACTTTTAACAAGCTGTCATTTATACGGCCAATATAAACTTCAGTGTATTTTCCTTCTTCTGTAGGTGTGCATTAACTACCAGTCCTGCTCTGTGCTCCCTGGGGGAGACCTGGTCAAAGCATAGCAGGCCATGTGCATGCTGAGCAATACCACTGCCCCTGCAGAGGCCTGGGCTCACCTAAATCACAAGTTCAGCCTCATATAGGTCAGAGGGGTTTATACATGAGTATATGAGAAAGTATGGAGAGGTGTTCTCTGAGGCCCGCAGGACCTGGCAGCCGTGGCAAAGGATTCTGAAGAGATGGCTGTGGATTCTGCAGAATCAGAGGCTGAAAAGGGAGAATACTGAGTGCAGTTGTGTGGCTGGCAGCCATTATCTTTATGTCCTCCCCTCTGTTGCCATTATTTACTCTATACAGTACTTTTTTTTTTAAAAAAAAAAAACAAACAAAGTTCCCTGTCTAGATACCGGCCTTTCTTGGAAGGGCCAGTTAGCCAACTAGTGGGGCACATACATTTGTTTTCCTTAAGACATTAATAGGTATGTCTTTGTGCTCAGTTAAAGCTTCTAACTAGATAAGGGAATTAAGGTAGACGTTATTTTACAGTGAAGAATGAGTCCCTCACACCACGTGCGAATAGCATGGAAGTGGTTTCACCCTGTCTTGTGAGAGGGCTGAGGAGCAGAGTGCAGCTCGGGCTCCACCCGCGCTATAGAAAGCCAGGTTCTGAAACGTAGCCTCTTCATTAGCTTTCCTCCCCAGCTGGTGGACCTAAGTGGCCTACCCAGTCTATGTCCCCACATTGTACCGGGTCACCTCTCTACCTCCTTCCTGGATGGTATGGAAGTAAGTGTTGAGCACTGGGCTTGATTTAAAGAACACTGCTCTAAAATGGACCCACCAGGACATCCAGATGTCATAATAAAGTAGAAGCCAGAAAGAGATCCTGTTGTGTGGCCCAGCTGAAAGTGCCAGGAATCTCTTGAGATAGTGGTAAAATCCCAGTGGGCGCAGATCCCTGGCATCCAATCTCTTGGCGTGTTGGCAGCCCCTCTGCTTATGCAGTTAATTCCGTTACCCTAAGAACTCTTTTTTTGTCTTTACATTTTACTTTGAGCATATGTATGCATGCACATGTGCAATATGTGAGGGTCAGAAGAAAATTACTGGGCTTTGTAACATGTGGGTCCAGGGAATCAAACTCAGATCCTCAGGGTTGGCAGCAAGTACCGAACCACTTTCGGCCGTTGGCGGGACTCTTTCAGGCAAGAGTCCAGGTTTTTCTTGGGGGTGGATCTTTTTCAACCGGAGTGTCCGCTTACGAAGTTCAGGGAGCACTTCAGACCGCACCCGGGCTGCTTCGCCCGAAGGCGAGTGTTCAGTAGTTACCTTGGAAACACAAACAGAGCAAACGATCTATGGAACAGGAGCTCCCGGAGCAGCTCAGGAGCAACGATCTTCCCGCACTCCCACAACATCCGGTGGCCAGCCAGCCAGAATCTCTTCCGGTCCCGCCCCTTGAGGGCAGTCGCCACCGGCTACGGAGTCCCTACGCTACCAACTTCCGCATTGACCTACCCATCGCGAGACTTTGGCGGCGCAGCAATGGCAAGACCGTGAGTACCGCTGACGGGAGTCTATAGAACGAGTTAGGACGGGACTGGGCCGAGGTCGGGCTGCGGGGGAGCCGCCAGGCTCAGGCCCTCTGGAAGGAGTGGCGGCTGGGCGTGAAGGCAGTCCTCCCCCGACTGCCGCCCACGACCCAGTGCCCGCCCCTTCCCCAGATGCCGCGACACTGCTCCGCCGCCGGCTGCTGCACACGGGATACGCGTGAGACTCGTAACCGCGGCATCTCCTTCCACAGGTCAGCGCGCGTGCGTAGTGGCACGCGAGGGCTCACATGCGCAGGCGCTGCTGTTGCGGCACTTTAGGCCGCGCTGGAGACGGCGCCTTCCTGAGGTGGAAGTGAGGCTTGAACTTGTGAGCGGGAGGGTGAAAGGGGAGGTCGAGTGATCTCGAGTCTAACAGAAAAGGGACTGGACGTTTTCTTACCTTGGACTTGGAGCTCATGCTCTTTCCTGCTAGGTGATGCTGAGCAGGCCCCGTTCCTTCTCTCGTCCTCAGTCTCCCCTTAGCGGGTGGTAATCGGAAAGGGCCGTGGGGAGGTCTGCCAGTCTTGCCTGGGGAGCTTGGGCATCCTTATCGCAGGCTGCAGCATCCTGGTGCTCACGGTTTTGTGGCTCTGCAGACTTCCCAAGAAAGACAACCCCAGGCGCGGCTTGTGGCTGGCCAACTGTCAGCGGCTGGACCCCAGCGGCCAGGGCCTGTGGGACCCGGCTTCTGAATACATCTACTTCTGCTCCAAACACTTCGAGGAAAACTGCTTTGAGCTGGTGGGAATCAGGTGGGTCTTACTGCCAGCCAACGCTAGAACGGGTTGTGAGGCATCAGAGCAGTGGGTTAAGCGGGGCAGCTCTATGCCCTGGTGAGGTCCATGAACAACTGGCTCGCATGCTCAGACAGACAGACCAACTGTTGCCAAGGGTGCTGTGCCTTCCCAATTCTGTACAGAAGAGCATGGTCCCAGGATCACAGTGTCAGTGGCATCAGAGAAAAAGTCTTTCCCAGCTGGGGAAATAGACCCATTGGTAGACTTGGTATGCAAGCATGAGGACTTGAATTCAAATTCAATACCCAAATAAAAAGCCACGTGTGGTTGCCTGTTTTTTAATCCCAGGCCTGGAGAAGACAAAACCAAAGGGTTCCCTGGGCTCACCGAGCAGCTCACTAGTCTAGCTTGAGTTATCGAGGCCTATGTTCAAGGAGAGACTGTCTTAAAAACAAATCAATTTTCAAAGAAACTAGACTTTGAAAAAAATCAATTTAATTAAATGAAAAAATAAGATGGGTGCTCGGGAGAGATGGCTTAACAGTTTAGAGCACTTGTTACTTTTCAGAGGACCAGGGTTCAATTCCAGCTCCAAGGGATCCCTCACCTTCTTTCTCTCTGTGAGGGCACAGGTGGTACACATACATACACGCAGCAAAACATTCATACTCCTAAGATAAATAGGGCTGGCTAGGTGGCTCAGAGGTTAAGACCGCTGGCATCAAGCCAGGCAGTGGTGGCACACACCTTTAATCCCAGCACTTGGGAGGCAGAGGCAGTGGATCTCTGTGAGTTCGAGGCCAGCCCGGACTACAAGAGCTAGTTCCAGGACAGGCTCCAGAGTACACAGAGAAACCCAGTCTCGAAAACCAAAAAGAGCATTGGCTTCTTCCAGACAACCTGGGCGCATTTGCCATCACCCACACAGTGGCTCACAAGTCAGCAAATTCTAGCTCCAGGGGACCCAGTGCTCTCTCCTGACTTCACATGGCGAACAGTCGCAGGCATGGGCAAAACACCCCACTTCTAAACAAAGTGGTTTTAAGGAGAAAAAGGAAATGTTTACAAACAAAGGTGGAGAATAATTGAGGAAGGCCTCTGGTCTCCACACAAAAGAGAAAAGAAAGTTTCATGGGGTATTCAGCACCTGCTTCTTCCGGCCCTGGGTGGAGGTTTTGCAGAGGTTTTGCATTCGTCTCCAGAAGCTCGTTCACAGGGAAGACTAGTTTGACTTCACCGAACGTGGCATTCAGATTTATTGGCAGTGTGCCTCAGAGCCTCAGCCCTAGTGCTAGGGACTTATGTTGGGACCCCAGGGGAAGTGGCAGCCCTTTTTCTCCAGCTCATCTGGGCTGCTTTTCCCCACAGTGGGTATCACAGGCTGAAGGAAGGGGCAGTCCCCACCATATTTGAGTCTTTCTCCAAGTTACGTCGAACAACCAAGACCAAGGGGCATGGTTATCCACCTGGCCTGCCTGATGTCAGCCGGCTCCGGCGATGCAGGAAGCGGTATGTGCAGGAGGGGGATGCCCCACCCTCCCCCCAGGGCTGAGGGACTGGACTGCGATTGCCAGCATCATCACTAAAGAGCGGTCTTGCTGCCTAAACCCAGTGAAGGGGCTAAGGTGTTAGGGAGTCTACATGGGTATATGAGAGGGGCCTGGCATGCCTTCAGTTGGCTAGTCAGTTTCTTTCTGTCTCCCTTCCAGCTGCTCTGAAGGTCAAGGACCCACAACTCCGTTTTCCCCAATTCCTGCTAACATCATCTGCTTCCCCGTGGAAGAAGCCTCAGCACCTGCCACTCTGCCTGCATCCCCAGCTGTGAGGCTGGAACCTGGCCTTAACAGCCCCTTCTCAGATCTTCTGGGCCCTCTGGGTGCCCAAGCAGATGAAGCAGGCTGTAGTGCCCAGCCTTCACCAGAGCAGCACCCCTCCCCTCTTGAGCCACGGCCTATCTCCCCGTCTGCTTACATGTTACGGCTACCACCACCTGCTGGAGCCTACATCCAGAATGAGCACAGCTACCAAGTGGGGAGTGCCTTGCTCTGGAAGAGGAGAGCTGAAGCGGCTCTTGATGCTCTGGACAAGGCCCAGCGCCAGCTGCAAGCCTGCAAACGGCGGGAGCAGCGGCTTAGGCTTCGACTGACCAAGCTGCAGCAGGAACGGGCACGAGAGAAGCGGGCACAAGCAGATGCCCGCCAAACCCTGAAGGACCATGTACAGGACTTTGCTATGCAGCTGAGCAACAGCATGGCATGAGGACACACTACCGCTCTGTCTCTTCCTCAGAGACACTTGATTGGAACTGCATCTACCAGGCTGGCCAGAAGTCACAATAAAGTGGATGCTAGAAAAAGACCCTGCTGTCTGGTTCAGCTGGGGGTGCCAGCCTCCTCCCCAGACAGTGGCCAAAGCCCCAAAGGGCTCAGACCCTGACAGGTCACCTCTTGGCCACGGGGAATCTTTGTCTGCAGTCCCTCTGCTTATTTAGTTACTCTTTCAAGGTAAGAAAGCCAGCTCCTCTGGTTCAGCTCTGCCCCGCCTCCCCATCCTTTTTTGAGTCAGGCTGGTATCATTGAAGCTTAGAGACGATCTTGAACTCCTAATCCTTTCTTGTACCTTGTGAATAGAATGATAGGCATGTGCCATCATGCACAAGGTCAGACTTAGCTCTCTTGTGAAGGTACAGCAAGCTTCTGTCCACTCCTGGTTGCATTTAGGAAGACTCAACAGCAACATAGCCTGCTACACTTGCCAGGCTGAAGGCCACACTTAGGGAATTGTTAAGTCTTTTAGATCCTGGTCCCGGTACTGTATTTATCTTGGGAACATAGGCTTCTTACTATAGCTTTGTCCATGGTAAACACCAAGCACATGGCCTCTCTGTACTGCTCCTTGGCCACATAGCTCAAGCACAGTTGAGATTCTGGCTGTTTGTATACAAGGTTGTCAAAGTTTTCTTTATGGAGCCCTGGGTGAATATGTTTATTTGTATCTTGCGTGTAGAGGAGACAATTGAAGGCCCAGTTACAGGGGTCAGCATGAAGCAAGATTTGTAGACTAAAGTTGTCAGGTGTTTCCCCCCAAAAAAGGCTTGGATGCAATCACCATCTTGGGGGAGCGGCTCTGACACAGCACAACAGACTCACCTAACCTGCCTGGCTGCCCACTGTGGACTGGCACCCTCCACTCCCCTTCGCTGCTGCTGCTTGACCTCAGCTACCAGCCTCAATTTGTGCCTAGTACCTTATCTTATTAACTAGGCCACTTCCTGGCTGTATGGGACTGCTACCCAGGGCACCTTTCTACCTAGAGCCCCACAGTATGGGATGAATGGAGCATAGGAGGGAACTATGTTCTGCGTTCTAAGGCCAGGAAGACCCAAGCATTTCTCCAAAATGAGTCCTGGCTTCCTGGGACAGAGTAGGTTCCTGTACAAAAAAAAAAAAGCCACTGGGCTGTATTGGGTATTGAGATGTAGGCTTTCATGTCTTGATGTCAGGTAACAAGGATGGATGCCCCAGACAGTCTAGGTCTCTGAGGAGATATCTCAATATACAATTTTCTCTTCCTTGTGACTGACACCATGTTGACATAGTTAACAAGGAAGATGTTGCAAAATCCACACCTGGGGAATCTCTAAGCCACAAAACTGTCATGTGCTTCAGGAGGCAGACCAAAGGTGGCCACCATGCCACCCAAGTGTGTATGTAGCATTGCCCCAGCTTTAAAGGAGGCATATCAGTGGCAGAAGACACACAGGAGCGTCTGCTGACTTCTCTGGCCCAGACATGCACTCTGGGGGGCTGAGCTACACTTGCTGCCCTGTGGGCTGTGAGGAAAACCTTCCAAAGTTCGTATCTAGGATCAGACCACAGTCACTGGTCCCCATTCTCAAGCTCTGGGTAAGGAGTGGAATATAGCCTGTTGCTAGAGTAACTTGCCAAGCCCTCACCCTGACAGTAGGATTCCATGCCTGGGTCCACAGCACACCCCATGGGGAACGCAAAGCCACACTTCCATCATCTTTCTACCGCTAAGTGATATCCCTGAGTTTTGGTCTTCTTGGGTGAGGTGCCAGCTGGAAAGGGAGTCTGCTTCATTTGCCATTCCCTGTGGGGCCTGTGTTCGCAATGAAGCATGCCCTCTAGGAATTCAGTACACCTCAGTGCCTTGTACAAGCTGGGAACCATAGGTGGGATTGCTCTGTAGGTGGAGATGTGGCCAATCGGTTGAGGGTCATCACTCTCCAAACAAGTAGAATCCTCACAAAGATCCTCAGATGTCAGCACCCAGCTCTGCACACTGCTTGTCAGAGATGTGGGAGGCCAGGGAGTCTATGATGTCCAGCAGCAGCTGCTGGCTCAACAACCGCAGAGTGGGCAGCTTAGAGACCTGCACAGATGACCAAAACTAGATGAAATCAGACTCCCAGGAGGACCAGGGTAGGCAGGTGAGTCCTCTTGGGGTCCAGCCTGCTCAGGGCTTGGCTGTCTGAGGACAGTGGGCAATGGCCAGGAAGTATCTGGGCCTGCTGGGGAGGGCTGGGACCTAGAGCACTGGGGCCGGAGCCTGACCTTGGTGAACTGGTGCACAATGATGTGCAAGCAGTGCCGCTTCATGTCCAATGCCTGTGTCTTGTCAGCCGCCTCCAGAATCTGCAACGGCAGGAACCATGAGGCCCAGCACAGCTTACCCACAGACAAAGGTGTGGCCCGGAGGTACCAAGCACTACCTGTAGCACATTCTGCACTGTTACGTTCATCTCCAGGTTCTGTTTGCAGTATGCCTGCAGTCTGTTGTTGTAGAAGCCATAGTAGTAGGGGGCTGCAAACAGGTAGCTGGACACAAGTTAAGGAGCTG